GCCTCTCGTTTACTTCGTCGTCGGTACGAATATATGGCCAGCAGTGTCATCGACGAAATATTTGGAGACGATATTACTGGTTTCCGATCGACGATTAGCGTGTCGACCGGGCGGGAAAAAGCGAGGCGGGAGAGAACGTGATGGAATGTTTTCCGAGGAGTCCTTCAACGTGAGTGGAAAACATTCGCCGTTCCGGCACAATAAATACTGTCGATGCAAACGATTTATACGAGAGCTGTTGCTCGTGTTTTCGCAGCGTTGCTCAACACGGCTTTCCCCTGTCGCAAGAACCGCGGTGGTATCTGTCACATACGCGGGGATATCGAAAAGTTCCCGGCGAATTTTAATAAATGACCACTTATGAATCAGGGGATATTCATTTTTCCATGTGTCATCCTTCATTATCAATGCACTTTTGCATTCTATAATTCCACCTCTCCAGACCTTGCCTGTAGAAGGAAGGATTCTTTCGAACTGAACCAGTGTACAATAGTCATACAATGATCATTGGCTCGTGCTAATTATTAAAGAAAGAAAAAAAGTATCGATAACATTGTCAGTTGCTCCAGTTTCTGTATGCATTTTCATTTTCTCCTTTGTAAAGACTCTGTTCTTCTTGCTGTATCATAATTAGCGAAGAAATCGTGCTATTGTTGTTTCGAAAGAGCAGATAACATCGAAAGTGCGCTGACAATGACGGCCCCCATTAAGAATCCTATTTCGGAGACTGGTGCACGGTTGTTTAAAATCCGTTTAAAACGGTTATTAATTGACGTTCGCGCGCGCCGGGTCCCAACGGGATCGTCCACTTGGGTGCCACGAGCAGTCGTACTTCGTCATCCCAACCCCGAAAACTATGAGGCGTTTAATTAACTCCAGGGTGTACGGTGGAAAGAGAGAACGCGAATTCAGATGCAAATGCCGGGGCGCCGCGGCACGCCCACAGGACGACCCTTTCTTCTTCCGGTTAAAACACAACCATCATCGGCGACCGCTGGTTGGACGGATACCCTTCCAGATGGAATTTAAATTCACCACTACCCTTCCCCACCATCCAGAACATATAATTTGCCGTTTAAGAAATCTAATCAGGGATACTCTGGACCCCCCTTCGGTTAAAATCTTTTCTAAGTAAGAAAAAGAGTAAACCGTAATTTACAACAGGTAATTTCTTTCGTAACTTTTCCCTAGTTTTGTACAACACTTTTATAATAAATTCGTCAGCATTTTAAATCAAAATTTGCGATTTGGTATGTAATTTAGTGACACAAATATTACAGTATTGTGTGAACAAATTCGTAAATTACTGTAATAGGAAGATATCTAGCCTACTATTCACGAACAATTATACACGGAACCGAGATAAGTGTATGGATCACGCACCGACGAGTTCCCCGCTTAGAAACGCCATAATGGTATTCTAATTGCGCGAGTTACATTTTATTGTCGTTCATTGTCAGCTCCTGCGACGGTGCGGCGCGCGCAGCAGTCGCGCGGAAGATACCGTGGAAGATTACATTTACGTGAAACACGAACAGGTCATCACGTACGAGATCAACTGGATAAAACGATTTGGTTATTCTTCTTTTCTTTCATTTCCGTGGTGGTTCGTGCCGAGCGCCGATCGGCAGGGAAGTGAAACGTTCTAGCTTCTAGGACAACATATTTTATGGTGCAACATTCCAATATATGCGTCTATTTGAAAAGGTCTAATCGACCTCCGTTAGAAAAAGTGGCACGTTTGGTAGTAACAGATTTCTTCTCACCACGATAAATCGTCCGAACAGTAAAAAAAAGAACCTGAAGACCAATCGGTGTCAAAGGCGTCGAAACCAACGAACTTCGAGTCCACCGCTCAAACACCCCCGTGACCACAATCGGACCCTCTGCATTCCATTCCACGAACAGGGAGCTCTCTATTCTTCCCGCGTATCCACGAAGAATCCTTCCGCGGCCCTCATTTCATCGCCCAGGTTCCCCGACCAGTGGTCAAACAGAGAGTTACCCAGGGGTCACCATTGGAATACCGTATCGCGGGAACGTATCGGGGAACAGAGAATAGCGGAAAGGGAGGTGTAGAGGGGGGTTGGCAAGTAGACGAAAGAGACCGATCAACGGCTTTAACGTTTTGGATTCCCCGGAGGAAGCCCCGCGGATAAGATCCCGGTAGCTAGAGACCGCAAAAGCAAGCCAAGGCTTCTCTCGGTTCTCGCGGGCAAATGTGCCGAAGCAGAGAACCATTTCGGACACGCGCTGGTCGAAAGGGGACGAAAGAAGAAAAAGAAGAAAAAAGATTACTAAATCCTATCTGAATCAGTGGCCCATTGAGGTGGGCGGTTTTGGTATCGATCAGGATATCTCCATCTCTTTCTTTGGTCCTCTTTTCAAAGGAGACCAACGGAGCCCCCCGGTGGTGTGTATCGGGCGGCAAGGGGGGTGGTGTGGCGAAAGGAAAGCGGGACAAGAAGAAGGCTTATTCCCGACAATACATCCTTCGACGTAACGCGAGGGTGTGCTGACTGACAGACAGCTCCTGTCTACCACCCCGGTTACCCAAGCAATACGTACACCACCGTCGACCCATCGCGGTATGTATCAGCCCCCACCTTACCCACCCCCACGGAGATCGGCACACACCAGCCTCCACTCCAGTGAACGGGCGCGTGTAGAGCCTTCTGTGAATCGCGAACAGAACCGGAGAAGCTCGCGAGGGGAAGACGGCGTCTCTACGTGTTATTTTCAAATTCTATTGTTATTTTATAATAAATTCTTCGGAATTTGAAATCAAAATTTACGGTTTGATATGTAGGTCGGTTAAACAAGTCATTGCACAATCTGGCGTGAACAAATTTTCGACTATCTACACTGTACATAAGGAACACACCGTACCTAAGGCTTCGTGTGAAATTTTAAGACACTTCATGTATACAACTGTGACCACCAGGTCCGAAAGGGTTAAATCCAATATTTCCAATAAAACAGCTATATATGTATACCTATGCAATCAAATTTCATTTTGGCAGCATTCGAATTCCTCGAGCAGAAGTCTGCCCAAATATCACACCATCGAATTCGTTCCACCGTCGTATCTCGACCAGTCCATGAAAATAATCGCCACCCCTTTTAGAACACTTCGAACACACACCCCTCTCTGTCCATCGATTATTACACATCCGGTGCGTAAGGCGTACTTTTTCGGTACGCGAAAGATGCTTTAATCTTTCGTCAGAGTGGCGTTTTACGTGACACGCTCGCCGAGAGCCCTTTCCCGTATTCCTATCGCAGGATCGCGATCATACATTCATCGGTGCTCTTACACACCCTTCTGGCATCCACTCACGTTCCCCGATCGACGCCGCTCTCTCTCTCTCTCTCTCGACCGGCTGGAGGGAACCGGGGGGATCGATTTATAACGAAAGGTTCGACGATCACTTACGGAGGGGGTGATGGGAGGTGGTGGGTTTCGTAACAGGACACCCTGTAGAAACGGACCGGTGGGCGGCGGACAGCGCGTTTTGCGGTGACAGAGCGTGTCTGATGGAGGGTTGTCACGGTATGGGAGCACCCCTCAGACTTCGATATTAAAGCCCTCCTAATATAAGAGCAAAAGCTCCGGCCTCTCCACCGTCGATATGCTCGTTTCAAACCTTTTCTCCCAGCCCTCGTCCCTACACACCGCGGAAATCTTCTGGTGGGCGATACTGACTTTTGTGCGAGCGGACCGGCCCGGCTGGATTTGTGGGTAAGCGAGTGGGCGGGCGAGGGTGGAGATCGCGGAAAGGGATGGACAGATTTATCAAGAGCCGTGTTCCCCTTGCGAAACTCGCGCGAGTATATTGCACGCAGTGATACGCGCGTGCGGAAAACCGTCCAAAATTTGTTGTATTTGTATACATCTGTAATGTAACGAAACAGGATGATCAAACAAGCATCTCTTTAAATGATTTTTTTTTTTAGATATCAAATGACCTTGAATTTTTGTAAGATCAACACACCTTTTTTTTTTTAATACCATCGTGCTATAGGTCGTTGAATTCGTAATTCTATCGGTAACAGCGTGGAATAAAAAAAAAAGATGCATTGACCCCAAAAAGAACTCTATGTCTCCTTTATATCTCATGAAAAAAATAAGATATAAAAAATTTAATTCTATCCATTCGATGCGTCTTTTGAAATGCTACGTAACTCACTTAAACGTTTTCTGATACAATCGATACGTAACGAGTTATTGTAGACAGTAGTTCTTATTGACTCGCTCTGTGGAAAAAGTCATGAGAAAACCTACTCGTCCCCTAAAGGTTAAGTACAGATTGTCTTCCTTGGTGAAATCACTGGCAAGTAAACGAATTATCCGATTAAAGTCAGCCAGATTCGGCGTCCACGGGCTTCCTACTAGCAGTCCCAAACCGACCGGAAAAAATATAGGAGACGGAAGAGAGGCGGTGGAGGTCGAGAGGGGGGCATGGAAGTGAGACAGGCGGCTTAAATGCATGCTTAGGTGCGTGAACACAACGGATCGGTGGTGCACGTGTGCGAGCACGCGTGCACGCCCCAGCACTCCCGGCTTCCGTATCCATCTGACACGCACCATTGACCACGAATACGCGTCCGATAGGGGCGACGTGGCGTGGCGGGGTGGGAGCTCGTGGATCTCCTCAAAAATCAAGTTATCTCCATTCTCCGCGCGTCGTGGTTCTACGAATAAAACGACCAGCCACCGTGGGGGTGCGACGTCTTTTCCGGCACGGCCGAGAGAGTATGTCGCGCAAATTTATTGGATATTACCGTTCATGAGATTACGGACGATCGTCGTTTTATTATCGGATTGTACGCAGCCTGGGGAATTTACGGGGACAGAGTCCACACCGATTTCTTGTGTCGTGAGCAAAAGCTTCCTTAATCAATCGTATCACGTTTAAAAGTAACGACACCAACGCCTCCGGAGTCTGGATAGAAATGACAATCGTGTTGTAGTTGTAGGTATTCGACAGATCACTCACGGTAAATCGACGGCACCAGACGCTCAACCATTTGATGTCACGTATCTTCTTCTCACCGGGCAGCCGCAGTATGATGTCGGTATAGTTGTACGCTTTCAGCTCCTGCGGTTCCCTGCGCGAAACAGAAAAAAAAACCATTGTGTCTGTAACTGCTCCAATAATACCGTGTTTTTTCAAACATTTTGTAAAATACTGTTTTGTATAAACAATGCGTCGGCTCACGATAAATAATGACCTAGTAGTTACAGTAACACCATTTTCCTAATGTTTCCATGTCAATTAAAGAAGTTTCGTTCTGCTGATCGTCGATAAATGTTCGAAATATTGTCACCAAAATGATAAAGTAGGCGTCCACTGTAGTAGACAAATGCAGTTAGCGGATTAAGTCCATTAAGTAACGATTGTTTCTCGTTGAATTCTTACATAAACGATTCCAAAGTTACATGGTTGTCAACGATTCATTTTTGATTTCTGCTCTCCTCTGAAGTTTCAAAAGTGTGACTTAATACACTCTGGGATCCAGATATGAATTCAGTTGCGAAACTATTCACGTACTGGAAACGCTTTCGTTAAGATCGACTGTGAAAAAAATGCTACTGTCGGAGTGGTCGGAGGAAGACGTCTATCTGTGTTTACGACTTTTCCAACGAGACTTGTCGACAAAGAGGGAGAGGGAGAGAGAAGCAGCCGGGACGGAAACGTAATAAAGTGCCAGCGCGGATGAAATCCGAACGAGATCGGCGTATAATTCCCGTTTTATTAACTGCACCCCCGCGATCCGTTCGCCCGGCCTTCCTCCTGTTTCCATTCCCCGTCCCCTCCGTCCAACCCCCCTTTTCGTTCCGCACAACAAGCTCTTTGAGTTTCATTTCATCCCTTGGTTACGGTATGCCGCTTTCGTCCGACTCACCCCTCTCTCTCTCTCGTTTTTGGTCGCTCGTGCGAGAAGTCAAGGTTTACGAGGAGAAGTATCGAAACGTGCGAGAAGAGAACACCTTTCTCGTACGATCCATAATTCTGGTACACTTCTTTGGCAGTGCAAATAATTTTTGCTTCACTTTACAATGATTGGTTTATCTTACCGTCAAGTATGACCGTTACTTTAATTGCTTTTCCAATCTTTTCGACAATCTCAGACGTTGATACTTTCGATCGGATAGAAAAATATTTTCAGTCGTAAAATTAATGATTTACTGTATCGAGGTAGAATCAGGAGATATTATGTACCTGTCCGTGTCCGGATACGGGACCAGCCAACCCGTTGGTGTCGGGTGGGTAGTGTTGCCCACCCAGAAGAATGTGTCCGGCGCGGTTCCATCGTAACAGAAACCTTTTATGAAGATCGTCGACTCGTCCACAGCGTACACGTCGCCTTTGATCCCGTGGCCGAATACTTGCAGGGGTCCGATTGGTTTGCCGTAGTAGTTGGGTCCGTTTCTTCCATCGCCTGCAAGGAAAAAAGGCGGACAATTAGAAAACGATAATCTTCATTGTTTTGTTCGAAAAGGTGTCTGGTCTCCAGATTCTCCAATGTTTCTTCTATCCACAGACGTTTTTTTATTCCACTGAAAAGGGTTAAAGGACAGATTCTGAACGGTTATATGTTTATTTAATTTAATATTTTTTTATATTAACGATCCAAGATGTTAATCCTCAATTATGCAACGCAGGTAATTGCACAAATTCTTCAACTATCGAAATCAAACATAGAAAACCGGTTTGCAATTAACTTGGGCTATGCTTAGCCAACGTGAGAACCGCACGAATTTTTTTGTCAAACCCAATACATGTATGTCGAATTAACCAACTGGGTTGAACGACAGAATTGCAGCTCGACAACCAACGGACAAAATCGACCCGAAAACGTTCGCGACCACGAAAAGACGCGACAGCGGCCGGAGCTTGATTCGAGCGAGAGGCTTCGTGGCTGGCAAAGGGGGAAGTACGGTTTCAACCCTCGTGATATAGGTTGGACGCATCGCCGCCCCGATACAAAAGCGGTTAAGATCATCGAGCGTTTATACGAACGTTCGGATTCTCAATCGCCCCGCAGTCGATCGCCTTGAAATGTTTCGCCCCGAGATTAGCGGTTCGCGTTTTAAAGGGGTATTCCTACTCGGAGACGTCATTTTTAAGCACTTTTTAGAACTAAGAATTAATGGACCAAGGAACTTGTAGTTTTTCATACATGTTTCTTGACATTTGAAAAAAGCACAGAAAAAATAGATCAAAAATATAGAATAAAATTATTTCATTTAAGATGTTCTAGAGAAAATCAGGATTTGAAGATTCATCTGTTAAGATGTGTACCCACTTGTCGCGTACCGTCGTATTGTATCACCTGTTGTGTATCAATGTATACAGGCAAGCGTTGCATAGTTTGGTATAAAAATTCGTATGATGAAACGATACGCGGATACGCGACAAATGGATATGCACCTGAATACGCGTGTATTCGTGCCATAGCAATAAGTAGAAACGGAATGCAAAGGGCAGACATGGTAGCCAATATTGTACAATTGCACGCGTATCCAGGCAATTTTCAAGGTACATTTTCCCGAAAACGAAATCTTCGGTGAAAAAATGTTATTGTATATTTTCGACTTATTTTTTCATGCAGAATCACCCCCTACCCAGTTGTACTACCAGTTACACGACACCCTGTATAAATGTATATTGTTTGTCAGGTGGAAAAAGTGATATATCCCGTAAATCTTCGTATGTATTTCGCGCAGAGGGAACGCATGAATTTCCCCTTCGAAATTCGTCGGAATCGGCTTAATGGCTCGATCGGAATTTTTGGATTTGGGACATATATACGGACGTTCGACTGTACCAGTGGGTGATGTGTAGGTAGATTTTGTAGCTAGCCCGGGATATATATCCGACCAACGCGAGGATTTACGCCGAAAAATACTAAACAATTTGTTATATTTTAAATAACCGAATACGATTCTAAAAAACGACGGGGATTACTCGTTTCTTTGCCATCGATCATGGTGGGCATTCGTGTTCATAGAAATATTGTGCGTTACACACGAACCATGCTACTTTTCGCAGTGCGCGTCGATACTATCCACATTCCGTATATCAGAACGAGACATCGAAATGAACGTTCAAGCGTCGACCATCAACCGTCCAGTCAACGTAATACATCGGTTAAAGAGCGAGAAGAGTCCTCGATTAAATTGTATTTTCCGTGGATCTAGGAAGCGGAACCATCAGCCGACGATCACGAGGACAGGATTCCCACGAGGGCGCCACGTTCAAAGTCCATTTCCAATTAATTTCCATTGAACGGTCCCCCCTGGACTACTCAGCGGTGGTGGTGGTGGTGGTGGTACCCGCGATTTTTGTTCGATGCGAAACACCAGGATAATTAACACGTCGCCTGCGCGGTCTGGCCGGTGCTCGTCCGAAACGCAGAGTCGAGGCTTTTAGTCCACCCTTCGCGGTATTCCCTCTCTCTCTGTCCGTCGTTCCCCATTCACCCCGTTCACTACAGGGGCGGGTGTATTGGTGAACGAACACACCCAAGCCGGGGTTCCGTCCTTCTCGTCGTGGTCGTCGTCATCGTAGCCGTCTATACACCCCTCTAAAGCCTGGGTATAGCAGGATATTACGGTGATGCGACAATGAACGTAGTGATCGGTATCTGGCCTGGTATTGGGGAGATGTCACCCTTCTCTGTCTACCCCTTTCTACACTATGCGTGATCGTACCAGCGCGTAACAAAAATCGGATGGCGATATATACATATAGTGGGAGAGTGTTGGGGATTCCGAGCAGACGAGGAGACCACGGTGAATGAAACGGAAAGAACTGAGAACGGGGGAGAGGGTGGGGATAAGGGAAGGAGCAAGAGACTGGGATCGTGAACAGAGGGAAGAACCGAGAGAGCAGAATATCTGCTGGTAAACACCACGCTTGCTAGCGCGCGCGTTCATGTAGTGGTGCGTGCGTGTACGGCGTCACGGTAGCTAAACTACCCTCGACTGGTGCTTAAACTGCCGCCCCTTTTATTATGGGCCGCGACGGTTATTGGATTGTACCGTGCTATTTGTTGGCTGCCACACTAATGGATCCATAATCACCGGGACAAATTAACGGAACGCGACGACGACGACGCCGACGGGGCGCTACTTTAAACACAGACCCTATCCCCCCACCCCCGGGTAACGCGACAACGACCTTACACTTTGGGGGAGGTGGCCTGACGTGTCTCTATGCGATTCGGAGACTTGGGTTAAGCGTACATTACTGTTTAGAAGTACAGTAAAGACCCCATTAGAGTTTGATACTCGAGTCCTCTTCGAAACAGTCGTTTTAAGACTTCACAAATCTATTCATATTCGCTAATGATGCAAATCGTTTAATATCTCATTAACGATATTTACGAGGGGTGTTTCCAAAGTTCTGGGAATTACGTGGTGGACGATCAATTGACTACAATTATACTACTATGAATTAATAAATGCAGCCTAGAATATTGAGGGTGGTTTACCAGATATTACCACTTCGATTTACGTGACTGATATTACTCGTAGCGAAAAATGATTCGTATAGAGTTGAATGGTTTCAGGAGGTGCACATTCTAATCTATCTACATCTTTCTAAATTTGGGGCGTCCGTTTTCAGCGAGATGCGTAGTCGATATTTTGATGTCTATGATCACAACCAACTCGACACCATCTTTTTCGTCCTCCCAACCTGTCCTTCAGACCAATCAAATTCCTCGAGATCTTATATAGCAGAGAAGCCACCCTCCGATGAGTCTCGATCTCGACGTAGCCCTGTATGTTCGTCGCGTGTACTTCGTCGAGCACCCGACTCGAGATCGTGACGGACGTCTTAGCACGAGGGACCAGGTCCGCCGTATATCCCGGAGAGGTTCGTCTGAAAGCAGGATATGATCCCGGAGTGGTGAGGGGGGTAGCTCGGTCAACATTTGACTCGAGTAAACATCGACCCCTCTTCCCGACCAGAGCTTCTTCCCTTCATCCCCCTTGGTGATCCACGCGCGATCATGGATGATGAGACTCCGAAACCGCGTTTCCCAACCGTCCTTCGAACAGTCTGTCTCTCTTTCCCCGACACATGGTGGCTTGGCCGAGCTACGAAGGGAATACCTTAGCCCTCGGGCGTCTAGCCTGGCACAAAGCATATTGCATGTGATCCAAACACACAATTGCAACCGGGAAGAGGGAGAGAGAAGAGACGTCAGGGTTCGTTACCTTCTCTGGCGTCGATGGTCTTTGCTCTTTCGATCGGATTCAAACTCGGATTCTCCCGTTCTGGTGCCTCGGGGCATCCCCGTTTTAATGAGGATAGTCCATGGAAAAATTCACTCGTTATCTTCGTCCAGGCGTGAGACGACAGACACCGTGCACGTGACGCTTGGCGAAACGGGAGCGTTGATGAAATTAAAGAATTAACGTTTCTTGGCCCTCTGCATCAGAGGAGAAATTGCAAACCTGGAGCAAAATTGAGAACGGTGTTTTCTGAGGGTGTGCAGGCGTTTGGTTCCGTTTGTAGAAAGTGTTTTCCAATGGCTGAAGAATTGTACTGTTCAGACGGTGTAGATTCTGTTTGATTTGTTTTATATTTTGTTCACACTGATTCGTTTCTTGGCTACGTCTGACTATAGACCGTTTCAGGTCGGGTTCCAAGTGAATTAATTGGAAGTAAATGTTTTTTCTTTTTCGCCGTGGCGGAAACTCCGATGGTTTTTATGGCTTCGATCCCGCTTTTACGCGCCTCCGGGCATTTAACGAGAAAAGTCTTGGAGAATTTCTCTTGTTACCTCTCGCTCTCTCGACGAAGCCGTGTCTAGTTTCCGCGAATTCGATCCCCGACTGGGATAATATTCGTTTACATTTAACACGTTAAACGCGGAGCTAACTTTGTTTTACTTTCCATTTAGGCGAATACATACAGTGGCTCACACATTTGTTCACATACTTCTGAAATAACAATTAGGTGTCAAAACTTTTATGCAAGTTCCATTTCCATAGTTTTCTTACCATTACTTTGTGATCAACTTTCCTAAAATTTGAAATAATTTTCGCATCTCATTGAATAACTTGGTGAAATAGAAGTGATAGCCTTTCGCCAGAAACTTGTTGTTGAACGAACACATCGGCCTACACTGTACTAATGTCGCGTGAAATCCACGTAATAGCGTGTAATTTCATCTGACACGTGATCTTAATGTGTTTCTACCTTTAGTTCCATGTTTTATACAATCGACGATTCTAACAGTGACTCGCCGTTCGTAATTAATTCGAACGTAAACTTTCCATTACAGCTCGTTCAGATCGTCAAGGAAAACACTCCCGTCGGTTTTGTAACGCCTCGATTCGGCCCGTGGGACCGATTTAACCCGTCTCCGTGAATAGCGTCGGATAATCAGGCCACAAAAAGAAAATTGAATGCGATCCGAGTATA